ACATTACTGAACACACTAGTGCCCTGGATATCCTTGCCAAATATAATTCCTCTATTTCTACTGCCCTTAATATACACGCCCCCCTTAAATGTAGACTCGTACCTTCTTCACATACGTCTCCCTGGTTTACTCCTGCACTTCGCGAACTGAAAACTACTGGTCGTCGCCTTGAACGCCTTTACAGGAAAACTGGTTTGAACGTGCATCTTATTGCTTACAAGGACCACATTCAACAATATAAATCTGCTTTAAATACTACACGCTCCAGTTACCATTCTGCCCTCATTACCAATGCATCCTCCCGTCCTAAAACACTGTTTTCTGTAGTCAACAAACTCACCAACCCTCCTGCACCTGTCATGAGTAACTCAGTAGACCTCTGTGAGTCATTCTTACACTTCTTCCAAAATAAAATTAATTGCATATATAATCTCTTTCCAACAATGAACTCCCCTATGCACTCGCATGACTTCCCCTTTGCACCTGGTACTTTTACTGATTTTGATCCTCCAACCCCTGCTTATATCTCTGAGTTACTTAAAAAATCTAATCCAGCTTTCTGTCATCTTGATCCTGCTCCTACTGCTCTACTCAAAAACTCTGCACCTGTTATTTCTCGGCCTATTTCACTTCTCATTTCTCAACTTCTCAGCACTGGTGTTGTTCCTTTTGAATTAAAAACTGCATCTGTCACACCAGTGTTAAAGGAAACCTGGCCTCGACCCCTCTGATATGGCCAATTACAGACCAATTTCAAATCTCCCGTTTCTCTCAAATCTACTTGAAAAAGTTGTTGCTGCTCAACTTCAGGCATATTTGTCATCTCATAACCTCTATGAATGTTTCCAGTCCGGATTTCGCACTCTTCACAGCACTGAGACGGCTCTTCTTAAGGTTGTCAATGACCTCCTCATGGCCACTGACTCTGGCTCCATTAGCATCTTAATTCTGTTAGATCTTGCCTCCGCTTTTGACACTATCTCTCACAGTATTTTAATCTCACGACTCTCTGCTCTTGGTATTACTGGAACTGCCCTATCTTGGTTCACTTCTTACCTGTCTGACCGTCAGCATTACGTCTCTGTCCGCCAGGCTAAGTCCTCTACTGCTCCTGTCTCTCACGGTGTTCCTCAGGGCTCTGTTCTTGGGCCTTTATTCTTTATTATCTATATGCTCCCATTAGGTAACATTATCCGTCATCATGGCTTTAACTTCCATTGCTATGCAGACGACACCCAGCTCTATATCAGTTCTCAGCACAACTCTCCTTTTCCCTCCAACTCCATAACAGCCTGTATTAATGATATAAATGCTTGGATGACCAGTAACTTTCTCAGACTCAACACTGATAAAACAGATCTACTACTTGTCTGTTCACCAAAAAATGTTGCTCCTTCCTGTGCTGATCATGTTAACATTGCTGGGAACTTAGTTCGTCCTTCCACCACCGTTAAAAACCTGGGTATAATCTTTGACTCCTCCTTCTCCTTCCTGCCTCACATTTCTTCACTCACTAAATCTGCCTTCTTTCACCTCTGTAATATTGCTCGTTTACATCCCTTCTTAAATATCAGTTCATGCCTTCATCTCTTCTCGACTCGACTACTGTAATTCTCTCTTCTATGGTCTACCAAACACAACATTAAATAAGCTCCAATATATCCAGAACTCTGCAGCTAGGGTTCTCACGTTTTCTAAGAAATCCTCTCGTATTGCTCCCATCCTACACAGACTTCACTGGCTCCCCGTTCGTTCTCATATTCAATACAAGATTCTCCTCATCACCTTTAAAGCACTTCATGGTCTCGCCCCCTCGTACATCTCTGATCTCATTCATACTTATTCTCCAGTTTGCACATTACGCTCTTCAGATACCGGTCTACTGTTAATTCCACGCCACAGGTTAGCATCGCTTGGTGGAGCGTTCTGTCTCTCTGCTCCCACACTCTGGAATTCTCTTCCCAAAAATATCTGTGATCTTTCTTCATTACAGGATTTCAAAACCCACCTTAAAACACATCTTTTTCTTTCTTACTTTTCTGATCTGACTGTATGACCTGATTCATGCCATGGATTTTTTGTTTATTGTCTTTTGTTTTTTTGTCTGCTGTCATGTTGCCATATTGTAAA